AAAATGTTAAAAGACTACAAGCTTGCACACAAGTTAAAAACACTCTTCTAAGTCCAATTCCCCTTTCCTATTCTCATCCCCTTTTGGTACTTACATGTAAAACAGAGCTGATGAAAGCTCAGAGTGAGTGCAGAAGAATACTGATGATTTTATATGCATTTGGAGACATTCTCAGAAGAAACTGAGGGGTTGGCAGGAGTTAAGGGAAGTTAGCAGTCTACCTGTCTGCATAAGCTTGAAACAACCCGAAGCCACATGCTGCCTGACACATCTAGTCTCAAAATCCTGGTGCCAATCTACCACGAGTTCTTTACCCTATGCATTTGCAACACTCTCTTGGACCTTTGGTGACTGCCAACCACAGTTTGGCAACCATCATCTAAACCAACAGATAAGCACTGTAAAAAAGAAGTGACTACCCAACATATGCAAATTTTTTAAAATCCTCTAATTTCCTCACCTCTGGTGTTATGCAGGCACACAGTAAAACAAACAAAATATCCAACTGAAAATAGATTTTCTGTCTAGGTAGCTTTTAAGAAGACCAAATGATGAAAAGGCCCAAACTCTTGGCACAGAGAGAGGCTGTTCTAGTGAACAGCCCGAGAAAAGGCAATGCTACAGAGTGAAAGGAGGGAAGTAAAAAGGGGATGAAGCTGACAGTTCTGGCAGAGGGCAGAGGCTAAGAAAAAAACTCCCAAAACCTAGAGTAAAGCCCAGGATAAAAAGAATCAGAGTCAAAGCCAGGTTGAATTTGCACGCACCCTATAGAAGGCCTGACCAAGATACTTTATCAGAAATAAAACCTGAAGCCTTGAATTTATTCAAGCAGTGAGCCTTAGTTACTTTGTGCACAACCACGGATATGAGTTTGAAGGACCAAAATTCAACTTTGCTACTTTTAGAAAACCTGTACTGCTTAACTCACTGTGCATCCTGAGCAACACAGATACATTTAAGTGTCTGTTGGATCTGGCAGAACGAACACCCTTCTGACCTGCAGAAAAAAAAAAGAATGAACAGTTTGAAGTGGATTTGTTTGGAACCATATGCTGTTCTGTGCATATTTAAAACAACAAACAACAACTCCCAAACCTTTCTGTGGCACAGCAATTGTCACTTTAAAGGTTACACCCCTGCTTCCTTCAGAGGCCGCTCTGGATGCAAAATAGATATGCTGTGAAATAAAAGCTACTTGACACCACAATGTTGCCATTATTTAACACTAGTAGCTCTACTACTGGTTTTTTTTTTTAACTCAGCATAAGTTGCTGCACACTCAACCATAGAGACCTGATGCAGTTTATCCAGCTCTTGTACTGCAGTTATTTCTCCACTAGCTGCAAGTTAACTGATTTCAGTGGATATCTGAACGCCGCCTTGTTTCATATCTGGGCCTACCGTGAAATTTTGAAAGGAGCCAAGTAACCTTGAACAAAGCACCACACAGAATTCATGGTTCTCATTGATGACAATGCTTTTTATTAGAAAGAGTAACAAAGTGCTTTCCATAGGATTCATTTAATATGGAGTTTTTAAGGAACGTGATTTTTCCTTTTTATACAGACAGTTCCGATGTGATGACTTTTCAGTGCTAACAGGGTTCTCCAAGATTCTCCTACACGTAGAGTGTCTTTTCTGTACACAGTAGTTCAAACATTTATGCATTTGGCGGGTGTGAAACAGTACTGAAGAGTCCATCCTTTAAAAACACAGAGGTTATGTAAAAAGCTTTCAATATGTTACACTAGGCAACAGGAATTACATCATTTGCTGTTTAACACAGGTTTAAGGGACATAATTCCTTCACACAGTCCCACATGCAGACACATAAAGGTGCTTTCAGTTCTATGAAGAATAATAATCCCATATACCAATATAAATAACTTTATCTATTTTTACTATATAGACAAAAGTGAAATTGTCTTTTTTTTAAATTAACCTTCTGCTTTTTAGCTAGGGACATCCTTTCAACACTTGGTGCTTCCTCTGCCTTGGAACTACATTTGGATGGAAGGAAGAACACAATGCAAGGACTGTTCACCCCTACCCCCCTCGCTTTTGGCACATTTTTACAATCGGATTTCTTTTGACACATATATGCATAGTTTTCATGCATTCCATTTTCCACTCTTTATGCCTGATTCTATCCCAGTCCCCTTTTTTCCTTAACTCCTCTTTCCTTTCCTGCAAATGACAGGGAGATACTGTAGCAATAGCACAGCATTAGGACAGATGATTCGGTGCAAATTCTTATATACAATGGAATGTACAAAACCAAATAGGTGAGGGGTATCTTCCATACAAGACATTATTTTTCATTTTCAGTCAACCTAACTCCATTAGGAGGGATACTTTTTCAGATTTTTAAAAATTAAAAACTTCTATGAAGGACAAGACATAGTAAGTTACCCTTAAGAGAAACCATATAAAACATTTACCGTACACAATCTCAGTTCAAAAGCTACCTTTCCCTAGAGTACATGTATACAAACATGAACATCAAAATGAACACTGAAATGACTTCATAAGTGAAACAGTCATAGTTATGCACATAATAAAAGGTTACATGCATATAAATAATTTCCTCACTGAACTTGTCAGTCACACCCTTGGTTCATTGTTCCCCATTCCGTATGTACAGAGCAAAATCACCACTCCAGGAAATACTACATGCCATCTCACCGCCCAGTGTCTTCACACAAGAGTACTGCTGCAACAAGGGTATCACAGAGACACTTTTTCTCACAGGACAAAAGGAACTGGATGAGATCCTCTGAACACTAACTTGACTGTGGGAAGAAAGGAAGGATTTTTTTCTTTTTTTTTTAATTACAAGATGCTTTTGTAGTACAGCCCTTATACAGAAGAAGAATACACATAAACCCACCATTATATCTATACAAATATGCAAAGGTGTAAAAGATGTTCTGCTTTCTAAGGGTCTTGAAACAAACCCAAAGTTTACCCCTAGGCACTTGTGAGTACAGAGCTCCTGCCTCTGAATTCAGCCTGTACTTGCTGCTTGCTTTGGGACTTCCGGCTGTGAATAGCAAACCCCTGTATCCAGGAACACCTTCTGTTGTCAAACAAACGTTTGCCAACAGCATCAGCATAACTATTTAAGTAGGTGCCAATCAACACAGGTTGCCATCTAAACACACAGCTGGGCATCAGTCCCACTCCCCTGCAGTCCTGCTGGGTCAGCAGAGCCTCTTGGATCCACAGTCAAGGTCATCTGAAGATCTGGAGAGGAGACCCGGCTCCTCAGAGGGTAACTACGCGTTCATTAGAAAAGCACACAGACATGTCTACGATGGCATTTAGGCACATAAAGACTTTAAAGGAGCTGGACCTTCATGTTCACTGCCCTAAATAACAATTATTTCACTAATAAGAAAGTCTGTAAGGACTGGGGCCAAGGGCCCTGGAACCAGAGCCCAGCAATCAACATGATCCATGTAGGCATAAAATCGGCCTTGAGAATTGAGTTGCAGGACTGGGACCATAAAGAAGCTCCCCTTATCTTTGAAAGTCTCTGAATAAGACAGCATTTTCAGCTAATCTATTGTTGATCTCTTCTAGTATAAAAATGTTCAGGAAAAAAGTCACCACAAAAAGGTTAAGTAGTTTTATGTAAATGTCACATCTTCTATTACATTTCTTCAAATAAATGTATAATTTCAGTCTACCATAGATGAAATCAATTTTGCAATTGGTAGCCTACTTAGTAACAATTCTGTCTCATTTTACTGTTTTTCTTTACATAAGCACATTCAACTTGGAAATATTCAGTACAGCCCTGGTGTGGCTCCTGGGGAGCTAGAGTGAATTTTGCACCTAATCCTGAATGTATATATCCTATTCTTCGATTTGTGTTGCCTGTGGCATGCACCTATAGATATGCATTTTTGTTGCCTGGCGTGGAAATGAATCAGTTAAGACTACTAAATAAAATGACCACCCGATTTCAACTACATTCTTGCCTTGCATGAGGAAACAGGTCTGATTTGCTTATGTACGCAAAGCTTCTGGCTCATGTTGGGTCCACGCTGCAGCAAACTAGGGAAGCATTAAGAGATCTGGTCTGATAATCTATCTGGTTGTTCAGACACTTCACACACAACCCACAGGAAGCAGACACTGTTCTAGCATTGCCATCTGGAATGGCAACTCTCCAACACTGCAGCTGTAACTACCTACAAAGTTCATGAATTATCCAATTATTTATCTTTAGAAGGGGGAAAGAGCAAGTATAAAAAAAAAAGGAAAGAAAAATAGCAGCAGGAGCTGAGTACATTTCCAAAAACAAGGCGGAGCTCTGTTAGACCATTTGGCCAATATGGAACTGCAATTCCTCCTGAACAACAGCTGAAGCCTTGCGTGAAGTCACTAACATTAGTATAAAAGCATTTTGCTGGCATAGCTTGTTTCCTGGGGGAAAGCTTGCTATAAACTATACTAACCAAAGATGCTTCTGTGCTGGGAAGTTGTATTCGCCTTATGAACGTTTATCATTGTGGGTTTGTTAGCAAACCTCCCTTGTGCAGATTTAGCTTTTCAGCAAAAAACTAGCAAGTTATGCAGATTCGGGGAATAAACAGCACACGAGCCTCCCCACCAATGAAACAGAACACTCACATCAAGTGTCCTCTTAAAACCAGACAGCAAATTTTCACTATACAAAGCAAGAACGTTGCGGGGGCGAAAACAAAAAGCCAATCCTTGGACTAAGGCCCCAAGAGTGCAGAAAACAGTACGTTAGATACCATTATATTACAAACATCTCCTTTTTTTGCCCTTCAAAGATGTAGTAGGGCACTGCTGACTTTGCTTAAAAGACATAATTTTAGTCCCCTCTCACCCCAAATGTTGGAAGTTCAGCAAAATGCCATTCAAAGCATTACAGCTTTTGATGTGCCACCCACTTAATTAAACACATAAATCCACTGACATAGTGACAGTGTTGAAATACATAACCCAACAGCATCTATAAAATTTTACTGTTGTACATAAATAATGACAAGGCACAGAACAGCAACCAGTCCAAGAGCTTGTAGGCCAAGAAACCAGAGCATAACCCAGAAGAATATAATTATTACAGGTTCTACTATCCGTTCTCCGAAGTACATCCTTGTGAAGCCTATTCTGATAAGGCTTTTGTTTAGTTCGCCAAAGAGAGTCCCCATCTTTTTATAGTCATCTATTACAGGTTCTGTGGTGTGGTTTCTTTGTTCTTGCTGGACCTGCGGTGAGAAGACAAAATTAGGAAATGTGTTGTACAGTCTGTTCTTATTACTGTGATTTTGAACGAGTCTCAGCTGTTTCTATGTGAATGCATAAAAATAAGATAGACATGCAATAAAGCTACTCCTTAAATCAAGCAGTTGAAAATGTTATATAGCTTGTGACTTCAGTACAACGTTAAGGATGACACTCACTTGACCAAACGTGGGACATCTGAGTGATACTCCAAACACATGACAGCCTGTCTCCCCTCTAGATGTCACTCCAGAGGGGTAAAGCTCTCCTGTAGGTCATACATCTTACCTGTCCGTGCAACGTAGATGTCAAACGGACACAACCAAAATGGAATTAAATGCCTGTAATTTCAGGAAGGGGATTTGACTGAAGTAGATTTGTTATAAATGATTTCCAGAATATCTTCAGAGTCATGAGAACAATACAAAACTATTAAGCACGAACTATAAAGTATTTCTCACCAAAGCACAGGGAACTGAAGGGCTACTACCACCACTGAAAGAGGGGCACTGGATTCAACCAAGGAGAAGGCAAACATCCATCCCGATGCTGGTGTAGAAAGCCATGAAAGTCAGGCAAAGGAAGACAGACCCAAGGACCGCAGAGACGCAAAACGGTGGTACAAAGCAGCAAACAGGAGGGGAAACAAGTGCTGCACTTTTCCCAAAAAGAAAAATGATGGGGCAAATGCACAGGAAGGCAGAAGCACGTCTTTAGATGAAGATGCCATGTTTAAGTATCACTGCAGAAAACATGCGACTGTTTCAACATGTAAACTGTAACTAGATTAGAGCTTGTAATCCCACCTCTCCTTCCCCGGTGTCCAGAGATCCTTTGCACAAAACCTTATTGCCTTGTGTTTGGGTATGATGGGGTGAACACGCTTTCAAGATGATGAACGTTGAGTTTTCTAATCCTTCCATTAGACAGCAATAAAAACACATGCAGCATCAATATTTCAGTCAACAGATCAATAGGTCCAACAAATTGCCTGCAAACTCTATGCCTACTCCTGGATTCAAAGCAAACATGTATCTTTAGTTCTGTCTTCAAGGATGAAAGCTGTTCTGCGTCCCTGGTTACATGGCATGGTCTCAGTGGAGAAACAGCAATTCCCTCCCACAGCAGTGCCAGGCTCTCCATTACATAGCAAGTAATAAAGTGAATTCCCATTCCCACAGAAAAACATTCAGCAAAGACCAAAGGAAGCTAATTTTTTTTTCTAGGCCAGACCTTAGCCCACAATACAGAACCTTCTGACTGAATGAAGGTTGGGTAAAGCACAACAGCTGCTACCAAAAAAACCCCACAAAACCCCTACAGTCCCTCAGCTGTGCATGCTTGGGTACTTTTTTATTTGCTTATTCATAAAGATTTTGGTTTAAGCTTCAGTACTGAATCCCAGAAAGGGAAGGGTGCAGGAAGCCTCAACAGTAACGAATACTGCGTTCAGTTTTTCTGTGGTTCTACAGAAGAGCCTGAACGTGGAAAACTGCAGTACTGGAGGTTACGTACTGACTGCCACCGCCTTGTCTGTTTTCAGCCCGCTCCTCTGGCGCAGGTCGTTTCCTCCCTCTCACTGGATACGGAAACCCCAGTTTTCAGCATTTCGGCTTTAACTGTGCTTTATTTAATTCAAATAAATATTGACCCCTCTTTAACTCCAGTGTTTCAAGATTAGCCTCTTCAAGAAAGGCAGAGCCTCTCGTAAGCCCCTGCAGACGTGGCAGGGCAGGGTGCTTACCACCCCAGGAACTCAATGTTACTACAGGAACTCTCATCCCTCTATTCCCAAAGAGCACGGGGAGACAAGCAAACTCTTAGCCTAAGTGGTATATTGATCGCAACAATTAGGGAAAAGAGAAAGAATGTGCTGAGAAGGGAAAATACATTGATTTGCTTCCTGCACGCAGAGATCACAGGGAACGCGTGCCTACGGGATGATGGCAGAGGGGACCGGAGCGCAGCTCACATCAAGTGGTGCAGAGACCACTTCTGAGAGAAACAGTTAACGTGTGCAGGAGAAATCACGACATTTTCTAACAAAGTAGCTTAGGCTTTGAGCCAGTGGACAGTGCAACCAGGAGGGGGAAAACAAACAAATCACTTCTTCGCCTCTGGATTACTAATGGCATTCAGCAACATGCTGGAAGCCTTCGCACAGAGCGAGCAGAGCGCAGCACTTGCAAGGAGGCTGCCAGCAGGCACATTTCCATGAGCTCTGTCTCACCAGGCCAGCTAAGCACACGGACTGTACGTGTCCACGCTGGTGTCTCTCCTGGTACGAGCCAGCTGCAAGACAAGGGATTTCCCTAGCAGCCCCATTCTGCTTTGATAAGCTAACAGCAAGAAGTTGCACGCAGTCTCTTAAGCAACGTACAGTGTAAATTCCACCTTACTTAGGCTGTCCAGGTCTTTCTTATTTATGGTTTGTTTGGGTTTGGGTTTTTTTTGTTGTTGTTGTTTTGGGTTTGGTGGGTTTTTTTTTTTAAGCAAGACTTTATCTCACCCCCTCCTTCTCACACAAGGGTAGATTAATGAATGCCTAAAGTGATTATGCAAAGCAAGCTTCTAGGCACAGAGACTGACAAGTGTGTGTTTAATTACAGAACAAGTGCCAAGTTATTTTTCCAAATATTTTCAAGAGCTTACAAAACCCTTCAGAATGATCATGGAAATTCCCAAGATTTCAAAGTCTACTTCAGTTCATTCAGGCCGAGTACGTCTTGCTTCAGGCAACTCAGCAAAAAAAAGTGAAGCTGAAAACAGATGATCAGCTGTAAAACACAGATGGCATATTTTTCTTTACTATTGCATAATATTTCACATGCTGGAGAAAGACGTTTCTGCAGAGGTATGACTAAAATAGAACCATTAGGACAAACACCAGTAATGTTGCAATACTCCAAACTGCTAAAAAATATTGAATCAGCTTTAACATTGCACCTAGAAGTTGTCTTACTAATTTTCAGGGCGATAGTAAAACAGCATACCGTCCTGCATATGTGCCAGTAGCTCCCAAACCATATCCTTAGAACCAAATACTTCTGGTTCTTCTGCAAAAGTACTTTTCTAAGCAGTTTTAGAGATTGGCTAACTTCAGCAAGCACACAGTTTCCCAGCTGACTCTTAATTTCCATAGGACTATTTTCATACTAAATCTTGCTGAACCAGCCTGAAGCTAGACAGACACTACCGTAACAGAAAAGCGTGGAAAGAGAAATGTACCCGTTCTGAGCATCCCCCCCAACAAAACAGAGCTTCCTCATTTAAAAGCAAAAAAAGTTTCTGTTTCAAAGTTGCTATTTTTAAAAATCAACAACCCAGCCTTGGCTTCATAACTTTTAAGAATTTTTTGTGTATCAAGAGGGAGTGGAGGGCATTGCTTTACCTGCACCTAGCCCCACAGAAAGCATGCTTTCAAGGCCTTTACAGCAGCTCTTCTCCTCATAGCTAACACGTGCTATGCAGAGGGCATGCCCAGACTTCATCTGCTATAGTGCGGGAGGGAACGTAAGAGAGGTCTACTTCATCTGCAGTAACTTGTTTGCCTTTCCTCACTCTGTGAGAGACAGGAGCGATGAAGAAATTCAGAGGGGCCCAGGGACCATTTGTTTCCTAACCTGATGTTTCTTATTGAATTGCTGCAATGAATTACTGCTTACTGTAATCTATATTCATTTTAAATCTAAGTGATTTTATTTTAGACATACCGGGATCATCAACGCCTTTAAAGCAAATTACACTAGCAGACTCCTTTATACAAATGTACAGCCACTGTGTATGACTTAATTGCCTCAATTTCCATTTCATTTTGTACTCCTTAAATGCTTTCATACAGTGCAATAGTTTTTTTTCATTTAAAAAATATTTCATAGAATGACAGAATAGTTTGGGTTGAGAGGGACCTTTAAAGGTCATCTAGTCCAATCCCCCCTGCAATGAGCAGGGACATCTTCAGCTAGATCAGGTCGCTCAGAGCCCTGTCCAACTTGACCTTTAATGTTTCCAGGGATGGGGCATCTACCACCTCTCTGGGCAACATGTTCCAGTGTTTCACCACCCTCACTGTAAAAAAATTTCTTCCTTATGTCTAGTCTGAATCTACCCTGTTTTAGTTTGAAACCATTACCCCTTGTTCTATTGCAACAAGCCCTACTAAAACGTTTGTCCCTATCTTTCTTATAAGCCCCCTTTAAGTACTGAAAGGCTGCTATAAGGTCTCCCCGCAGCCTTCTCTTCTCCAGGCTGAACAACCCCAACTCTCTCAGCCTTTCTTTATAGGAGAGGTGCTCCAGCCCTCAGATCATTTTTGTGGCCCTCCTCTGGACCTGCTCCAACAGGTCCGTGTCTTTCCTGTGCTGAGGGCTCCAGAGCTGGACACAGTACTCCACACTCCATTCCATATTTGGTTTCTGGTTTTGACTTTAAATTATTTAAAATGAAAAATAGAGTTATCAGACGGAACACACGGGAAGTGTCTGAATCGTCCCGTTGCTCAGCACATACGCACAATGTTCTTCACAAGCCTACTGCAGTACCTGAAGGTTCTCATCAAGCACCCAGTTTTCTCTTGTCTTTTCAGATGTTTGGTGTTATAAAATTTCCCTCCCTGTTCAACATGGCATACTTCAATCAGCAAATGCTGTTGTCTGCTGTCTCCCACTGTTTACTGGCAGAAAGTCAGAACTTGAAGATCCAAACTCTGAAAAACTTTACTACGGAAACTTTGTAACCAAATTTACCCAGCTGTTATGGCCATATGGCTTGGGGGCTTGGATGCTTTAAGGAGAACCACCAGGCGCCCTCTCAGACGCAGGATGCCATAAAATGACCTTTTCTCAGAATGAAAGTCTCTGAGGAGGTCGCAGAGGAGATACTAAGCGCAAGTTCTGTCCATGTCCAGCACAGCCGGGGCTCCTACATCCCTGGAGTGCTTCTGAAAAAAAGTCTCCCATGTAATTGAACGTTTTCCTGGACTAGCTTTAAAACAACAGGGAAGGTAAGGTCAATTCAGCCTACTGAACCCAACAAACATCCAGCTGTGGCTTTACCAGTTATGTTTGTCATCAACATAACACACAAAATTATGTGTGTTCTGACCACTAACTACCCTTCCTTATGGCAAACTTTGACCACATTCACTCAAACTCACTGCTGTCTAAATTCAGGAAAGCACGTGGTAAGTCACGATCAGAGGCCACTCCACACCAGTCTGACAGCAGGAACTTTTTCTTGCTTACCCCCTTCCCATCAAGGGTGTTTTGATCATACCGGGAAACAAGAGATCCCATCACAACACCCCCCCCCCAAAAGAAACCGTCTTTGTAATGATTCACATGCTACTCACTAGGAGAGAAGGATAAAGTTAGCACTGAACTTTTCACAATCCTTTAAGGCTGATCCCTCTCTGCACCTCCTAAGTATAATGTAGCCGGTTCAAGGTCTTTTCCCCTCAAAAAAGGACACAGTTCCTTGCCCCTGACCATTTACAGACCACACCAAATAACTTTGCCAAGCCCTCGGAGGGTGAAGAACACAAATGGATCCAAAGGGGACACAAACCTACCCAACACGCTTCGAAGTTATTTTCTTGTGGCTAATCAAAGAAAGCATGGAAACGCAGATTTAGCGTTTCTTTTTTCTGCTGTCAGCATCGCTAGCTCACTGAAGGACAGTATCAATTATGTCCTCACACAAAGACTAGATGTCCTTACACAGCATCGCCAGCAAGCTCTGCCTGGAGGTGCCTGCAGCTTCTCCTGGGAGCACAGCACGGCCGCTGCTGCAGCATTCCCCTCGGCAAGCGATGGAGCCCGGGGCCCGCACGCAGGGCACCCCACGCTTGCTGGACGCGGTGGATTTGCTGGCCATGTGCGGATCACACGCGACAAACTACTGCAACATCCGTGTGCAGGTGAATCTCTCTGTGCTCAGGGTCGCTGCCCCCGCCGGAACCTTGGGCCTCCCAGGGCTCATGCCTGGAAAGAAGAAATTGGTCTCAAAGGAGTGACCCAAGCTGCTCCGGCAGCTGCAGCCAGTGCCTCCTGCCAGCCTGCTGGGAGAAAGACGGCCCTGCTCCATCACACCCACCCCGCTGCAAGGCTAGCGTGATGGGTGAGGTGCTACGGGGCCACCAGGAAAGGCAGCAGCGGGCTGGATGAATTGTCTGGGAGGACCACAGACGGAATGGCTCTGGAGCGACCACAACATTTCTCAGTCCTGTAACCTCACCACTGCACTAGCCATGAGGAGAACAGGCGTAGTTATGGTCTTGCCTTCCAGGCGTTTCATCTGCTGAAGCAGCAGCTTGGTCCAGAGTTTTCCACACTTAGTCTAAGGATCTTGAGATGGTTTGTTTGGGTTGGGATTTTTTTGTGTGTGTGTAAAACAAATCCTAAGTAACTGACTTGAGTGAAATAACTGGTTGAAGTTCAACAGCCGTCATTCTGTAGGAGGGAGTGGATGAACATAAGGAACCTGCTCTACCTAAAGATTCAGGATTTAAAAAAAAAAAAAAAAATCCATTCGACTACTCTGAAGGTACAAGATTCTTCAAAACAAACCAAATAAAATCCCTCTTCCTATTTCTCATGATTAATGAACTGAAGAAACCCCAACAGTCTTCTGTTGCTCAGACAACTTGAAAAATTCCCACCCCGCCCTCAACTTGACAACAGCACCAGGCCGAGTACAAGTCTATCAGTTTCTCTTTTCTTGCATCAGCTGCCCAAAAGGGCATTACACAGATGTGAACTCCAGCAATGGAGGAGAAAAGTCCAATGGATTGGGAGTTAAACTGCTCTCAACGTAAAAGCGTGTGATTTTACAGTCCAAAAAATGCTGCTGGGCAAAGCTGGCAAAGAGAGAGGGGAGTAGGAAACAGGTATCCACAAAGTTCATCTACAACACAGAAAAGCAGCGGTGTCTCCAAATTGTAACATGCCTCAGATCACAATCAGTCACATTTACAGTTATAAAAGAAAGAAAAAGAGAAGGCATATTTAAGAGAATTACTTCCACATTAGATAGAAAAAAGCCTCCTTTTGAGTTTAGTAGCAAACACTACAATCATCCAAATCATACGTTAAAAAAAAGCATAATAAAGAAATGCAGGGATATCACACTTGCAGTCCCACCCGCACACTTTCCTTTTTTTCAAGTAAAAGATTTTCTCTGCATTATTTAACTGCTCACTATCTGTTTTACTCCAGTCATGGTTATTTTTACTCCAGGGAACAGGTGGTGTGTCTGATAGCTGAAGCCCATAGACACTTAAATGTCAAAAAAGTCACTGAGATGTGACTTTAGGAACATGCTTACCTACTGAAAAATACTCCTGTATTTTTGGAAGTTGGAACATCAACGTTCAGAAGAGAAAGCCTCACAAAGTCATCTCTTTTTAGAGGATGCAAACTAAAACTGAAAATACTTCAAGCTCAATCTTACAGAAAAGTATGAGAAGAAAGTGAGCAGATGACAGAGACCAGGATGGAAGAAACCACAAGTTCCCTCCCCTCCAAAATAAGAGACCAACTTCTGTTGGGTACAGACGGGGACACGTACCAGCCAACACACGGCTACAGATATTTGCCAGTTAGGTAGCCAGCAACGTAAGTCCCGGAGGAACGAATGACCCAATCTTGCCGGTACTCAGCCACCTGACCGGCCAGTGTACTGCCACGGACGGGCTTTGGAGATTTGCAGTGAAAGGCAAGTTCCCAGATCGTGGCCGCCTCTTTCTCGGAACCGCAGCCTCGCCCCGTTGCAGGGCGCCAGCACAAAACCCTGCGGCGCGCAGGGCGGCCGGGCGCAGGCTTTCTGCCTCCTACTCCTCCACATATGCAAACTAGATGGTTTCGTTACTAGTAACATCTGGCATGTGACCAGGATTTCACCCTGCTTTCTCATACTTAAAAAGTTTCCTCGTGTTTAATTAAAAGAAAGTGAAATTTGCCCAAGAAGGGCAAATAATTTTATTGCAAATGTTTCTGATTTTCTTCCTTTTCTACTAGAGCAGGAAGAGAACGTTATCCCTTCGCATCCTTTGCTAGCATGAAACTAATGATTAGTATTTGACCTTGTAAATGTAAGCAGGGAAAAGATCTTGATACTCAGCCAACAGACTATTAAGACAACAAAATTAATTTCAACTGTCTGGAGGGAAAAAAAAAAAAAACAGGCTCATTTCTCTAGGCTAATTTTAATCTGCTATTTAAATATGAAAAGATTAATAGATTAGCAAATGAGAAAAAAAAATCGTACCTCACTTGCAGATGAAAAACAAGACAGAGAAAAACTAAGTTTAACTTGTTCCTCTGGGGGGAAAAAAGCAAATGCAAGAAAACGATAAAAATTCTTCATACCAAGAGCACTTTACAACAGCTACCAATAAAAGTGACGTACTTAGAGGGAGTTTAAATAAAAAATTGCAAAACAAAGACTGGGTTAACATTTATTTCATAGCAAGAATCTAGACACCATTTATAAAAATAGAAACAAGATGTTTCTATAGAAACAAGCAACAACGTAAGAAAAGCAACTGCACCCTATTCCCTTCAGTCAGCTTTTGCAGCCACTCAAGTTTAGGCTCAACAGTTGCTGGAACAAACTTTGAAATACCAGGAGCAGTTTTGGTTTAAGGAGATGAAAACGCTTTGCCAGATACTGAACTTGTCTGTGTGCAGAGCAGAGAAGGCTTCAGGAGCAATAGGTTTCCCTC